TTGAGATTGGCCCTGGACCGTACATTCCCAGCTGCTCAATCCAGACTTAATGCCTTCACTCGTGGAATCGATTTGAACCAACGTAAACATGGTTGGCGAACCGGTTCCGTCTCACATACTGTATACCAGTTCACCTACAGTTGCGGAGACGCATACATAAGCAGAAAAAACTGTCTGCTCTCGCAACGAATAACCGAACACATTCCAATATGGTTGGTGAAGTTGATGACGTAGCCGATAATTGATGTTCAAATGGTTGTTTGGCAGATTTGTGTTGAAATTGTGAAAAGATCAGTTGTCTCTTTGGGATCCAAACCCACGCATGAACATCACCACGCTGATGTACACTACAAACTGTTTTTATCCTTCAAACGAACGTTTTTCTCAACACGGTACGGAGGTATTTTCATTTCTCCTCGTTTTACACGAGCAAAACCGGTTAAAAATTGCAACTGGAAAGCAAATTTCTCGATAAACCGTATAATTCCAATAATTCAGGATTTGGAAGACACAATTCTCGGAGTGAGACGAATTCCACCCAGAAATCGTAACAAGCAACGGGATGCGGATCGGGAGATCAATACAGATATTTCTGGTCTCATGTCCACCAAGGCCGAACGTTACGTAAGAACCTGGATGCACACGGCACAGCCATTGGGTGAGTTGTGGAGCCAGGTGCATAGCCCGCTCCACTCTTGCTCTCGCGCGCTTTTTCGCTCAAACCCATTTACTCCAGCTGTCCAAGTTTGCTTCATTCTCCAATCAACTTTTGTTCATTATAGACGTGCTGATAAATCGGATTTTCGGAAGCGATATCAGGAAAGAATCAAATTTTCATTTGTATTTGTATAGACTTTTTGCGTGAACAGATGTCTGCATTTCAGTCAAAAATTACACATCTTATCAAAAGGAAATAATACAAGAAAAACATCTAACCTTCAAGATTGTTCAGAAATTCAGAATAAACGTTCTGTCAGTTTACAAGGATTCTGGCAAGATAGGGAATTGGATAATTTCTGTAGAGGTTAATGCGAGACGGTAATAATCGATATGTATGGATTACTGTGACATTTCGATAGATAGCCAAGTAAAGTGTAAGTGGGAGCAGAGAGGATTTTATGCGCAAATATTTCACATGCGAATAAGTGGAGTTCATACAGTTTTCTAGATAGATCATCAACGGGTATATAAAAGACACGACTGATGATTGACAAAAAATTCTGAAGTCTTTTTTTAAGTAGACAAGTAAAAGCCCGCGGGGAATAATAAGAAAGAACAAGAAAAACACATTGATAGACAAAAAGAGAAATGATTTTTTGTTTGGCGTTGAACTTCCTAAGTTTTCGCAAGTGAAAAGATAATCCACGAAGTTTCTGCACAGAGCTGTAAATGTGGGATGTTCACTTTAAGTTTGTGTCAATTGTAACTCCTAATTACTTCACGGAATCTACTCCAGTTACGGGGATCTGTGTTTGTGACCGAGCGGTCACGGGGATAAATAGATCGAGAGAGGGTGAAAGTGCATTCAAAGTATTTAGATACATCAAGAGACAGTGCAGAACTAACAGAAAATTCGTATATCTGAGATAGATCGTCCGAGAAATTTAGAAGGTCATCAGGCACAAAAATGGCTAGGCAGAAGGCTACATCGTCAGCATTCTTAAATCATTAGGCTGGAGAACTTGCTGACAGGTCACTGATGTAGGTGGAAAACAAGAACGTAGATATTACGGTACTCTGTAGCATTCCCGAATTGTTAACGAGCGGCTTAGATGATTTCGTACACAGCTCAGTATGCTGAGTTTTGTTTGCTAAGTAGTCAACAAGCAATGCCTGTGGGTGCTTGGGGCAGCCAAAGGATTCCTTTTTACGCAGGAGGAGGGAACGTGGAACAGAGTCAAACGCCAATGAAAAATTTAGGAAAACAAATCTTACAGATTCCTCTGATGCGTCTAAGGATTTGATAACGCAATGAGCGAGGCAGGTGACAGCATCCAAATTGGACCCTTTTTGATTTATACGGAAACTGAAAAGAAGCAGACAAGCGTTTGAGAATGGCACACTGTCAAGTTAAGACAGCAGGATGTAAGAGCAATGGGACGGAAACGTCTGGACAGGGTGTTGGATCTACACGATTTTGGAATAAAAGTGATCGTGATGGGTTTCCAGCAATCAGGAATAGAAGACGTTCTGAGGACAGAAGTAAAAGCATCCATTAGAGCAAGGGCACCATGTTTTAGAAGGGATAAAAATAAACCACCGGGACCGACACCGGTGGATGATTTAGTTGTACGGAGGAGTTTAAATATTTCTTCTCTCGAGAAACTGGTTATATTAGTAGCGTCTTCCGGAATCCATGAGATAGGAGGGTCGCTACTCGGATGTACAAATGCACCATTTATACTCAACGTCCACAGCACATTTATTTGATCTGGATTTCGCTCCACATAGGATCCAAATACCTTTCCTTAGATGTCTCCTGTTTTGGCTGAAAAGGAGTTGATTCACACAGGATGACTGAATACGGTTAATCTCCTTTTTATCAATAAGGAAATTCAACTGACCATTGATGAGTTCCGGGACTTGTAGAAATGTTCTGTGTGTCTCCTCAATGCTTTGAGTTTCGGAGAGACAATATGATCATTGGAGTGAAATAGGGTTTCCAACGGACAACAGATATCTAAGATGAAATTGATTGTATCAACAAAAAGATTAACATTGTTGTTCAATGAGGGCTCAAAGGAGAACCAGGAAGCTTTGGAGAAGACGAATCCATTCACGTGATATGTTAGGAAGGCGGATTTCAGTTTGGTTAGTTTGCCCAAACGAATGGAAGGTAGAACGAGAATAAATGTTAGGTCTTAGAAGAAGCGGGCAATGATCACTGATCGAGATGGAGAGAGAAGAATTCGGGGTAATTTGTTGTAATTCTGTCTAAAACAGAATTATCTCTTGTCGGTGAAAAACACATAAGTCCGTTAGATCAAAGGCAATGAGAGGCCGGGTTGAGGTATGGTTAAAATCATTCATAGTAATATGCAAGTTTTCTTCTAGCATTGGCACAAGAAAAGGTAAAAATGAGTCGAAGAATGTCGAGTTGGTGTTTGGGGTACAAAACGGAGCGATATATGGGTTTGTCATAGAGGTACCTCTAAGTCGGGAGAATTTAGAGTAACACTGAACAGATAAACAATCAATACCGTTACTTGAGTTTGAGTAAACGGCCACTGTCTAGCCATACCACGAAGTGGTGACATAGGTAGCCACACTGCAGCCGGTTTTCTTGCCGCAGGAGTCCCGGTGCTGCCGGTACAGGTTAAATCCATCGATGGACACCAACGCATCAGCAACATGCGAGTTCATTCAACATACTTGTATGCAAATCAGAGGTGAATCCGGGAATGGAGAACAAGTGATAAGTTCGAGATTTTTGTGGACAAGGAACGTATGATCGTACTCACTAATGATGGGACGGACTTATTCGACGGGTGTGTGTGTGTGTGTGCGCGCGCTTAAGAGCAACTTGCCACCCAGCCCAGTTGTGCTTTTTTGTGAATTCCGAAATCCGAGATAATTCAGCGTAGTTGAATCAAATCGTGGTGCAAATCCGAGAGCGTGTTTGAATGGAAGTGATTCCGATCTGGTATATCGACGAATAAATGCCATAATAATGCAAAAATCCTTCAATTTCAATGAGATGCAACACAGGATTGCAGCGTAGTCAGACAAAAGGCGCGCGTACTGTATCATATAGTATTGATGGAAATATTCTACGATCCCAATAAGTGGCTTATATGTAATGTAATAAATATGAATAAATACTGATACAAATAAAACTGTCTACACCTTTCTCAATTAAGAAGTCCGAATATCAATTTAAGATGTCACTGCATCAATTTAAGCTGTCATATTGCTATGTGTACAATAATGTCCTGAGTAAAAAGTGTGTCATACAAAACACAGTACAATGATCTGGATAAAAAATAAATAGATTCCATAATTTTCATATGAGCGCTATACTGCCAGATTAACCAGACCAAGGCAGATGAGTTTTCTTGGGGAAGTTACAACTGGAGCATTTAGCTAGCTAAAGCCTACTCCGCAAGGCATCGGGGCGGTGTGTGAAAACCGCAATCCATTGCATCGGATCATACTCTTTTTGGAGTCCAAGGTGCTCAATACACCTTGATGCCCAATAAAAACAGTGACCACTAACTACCACAACTAGGAAGCTGTGTGTGTGGTTCACTGTGGTTTGTGCACCTTTTCTTCGTTGATTTGGAATCAGGGTTTTTAGCCAACTTCATTTAGCGAACTGCTAGGAATTCATCGATACGGTTACAATCTGGGATACTGACTTTTCGTCCTCTCATTTTGGTGCGAAGAGATCTCCGCCACGAGAATATCATGAGTATGGCTTCCTTAGCAGAGGCTGTTTGAAACACTTGGTCGTACGGGATCATTTCATGAGTCGCACAGGGAATGGTGACCAGTAACAGCCCCCAAAAATACTCACCCCCGACCAAACTGGGGTTCCGCTCAAATTCTCCCACCCACAGAATACGGTAGACAATAGGACTAAAGTTCCCACAGAACCCCGTCCCTGTCGAAAACCGATGCTAATTAGTGAGCTGTAGAGCACGTGTTCCGAGTTTGTGCGACAGTAAAAGCGATACGCAAGCACAACTGGTGCATGTCTTCGAATGACAATCCCCAAATACACTGGATGAATGGGATCAGAAATAAGTTGGAAGAAGAAATCCCAGATCCGGCAAGACCTCCCGCTGATGAACCAGAGACTGAATAAAAGCACGTTGAACTGAAAAAAAAATCATACAGTTTCACGGAACAGATTCCCCAAACTGAATTAGATAATTCACAAAATGAAACTGGATCTAAATTGCTTTGGCCTTGTAGGAGGAATGAAAAATGACTTGCCTGCGAACCGTTTGAGAAGCCCCTTCTTCACCAGGAACACACTTAGCTCCAGTGATGGGATGGAGACCACAACGGAACTTCCTAAATCTCTTACATGCATGATATTCGGTGTAACCAATCCAAGCATCCCAAAACGAAATTGGAAATTAAGCACAACCAATTCTGTTTCCCAGAAACACTGAATATTGGTCCACAAATGCAGAACCATGAAGCTAGAATGGGAGAAAAGGTGGATTTTCACAAAGGGGCTATCTTCTCTGGCGCTCGTTTTCTCCGTGTAGGTTCGTGGTTGACAACAAGGAACTAAGTAACACGTGACAACCATGTTTGTTTTCATACGATTTAATACTACTTGGCGTTTGTAAATTCCTGTTTCACTGGTTTCTTTTCCAAATCAGAACGTGAATTGGCCGTGGAGTTTTTCGCCAAATTTCGACAACAGACCAAGGAACCGAGTGAATGTGAAAAGCGATTTGTCGAATTGAAGGAAGATATGAAAAGGTAAGAGACATCTGAGAAAAAAATGTGAAATCACATATTCTCTAACAACTTTTTAATGAGGTTCATGAGCGTGTCGTTACGGTCAACTTGTTGAGAGTTGACTCACTCGCTCTCCGGTTATCGACCAACTTGGTTTTTCTACCATCTAAAGATCTTTGACGAGAGTTCACAAACTGTCCTGATTTATGGATAAATTTCTTCTCGAACTGATAAACGGGTTGTAGCATGTAGCAACAAGTGCATCTGATGGTCGGATTATAGTTCTTGATCGATTTTCGTGACGAACATAGGGTGGAAATCGTACAGTTCGATGAAGGTAAACAGGCAACGTGAGCCTTAGATGGACATACTAGGATGGATATGGGATTGGGCCGGCAGAAAGTGACTTTAGAAACCAGTCGGTGATCGGTGTCACGTTCGCGTATTGTCCGTGATTTGGGTCAATTTGGGAGTTGCATCGTCATTCGACGGCCTAGTTACTACTGTACGGGAACTGATACGTAATTAATTACGTAACCATGTTCAACTCTCTTTCCACCACGGCTAATTGTTTTCCATTACGTAACTGTTTCGAGGCCGACATTCCCCGCCTCCTCTTTCACCCACACACAATTGACTTCGGTAATAACTCAACAACTCAGTGGCTTCTACCTGAACCCATGTAATTCTGTAAATGTCCATATATGGTGTAAACTCCAAGATTTACGTTGTGGCCTTGGCGAACCTTTAGTCAGCGGCCGATACGCTTCCCGATCGGGTTCTATCACACCCACACACACACCTGCCCATCCTACACACGTGTTCACATTGTTGATTCAGTCACGTGACACACAACACATACGCACGCACACCGTGACAATGCTTACCAGTCATGCGACGCCGACACGCACTAGGACAATGTAACCAGTCATATGACCATACACGTACTTACCGCGCCTGTCACCTCACCACCCTGGCCCATTCGCGCATTCATGATCCCAGCCAATCAATGTGCTTGACCTTGTGACATTAGCCCGTTAGTCTGGGTGATTAGGGTCCCACACAATCGATTGCGCACCGGACTATCACGTACGACCTCTGTGGATTATATTACGTTGTCTATTTACGCGGACTCGGGAAATCTTGATGTGAGTATTTACCCTTTCACTATCGATGTATGCCAATGGCCTATTTACGTGTACTAAATGTTAGTTATTTATTTCTTACAGAACCACATTGATATTCATATACGTATCCCGTACGATAAGGTGCTTACGTTTGTTCAACTCAACTGGGACTGTGAATAACCAAGCGAGTAATCAGACCGAGATAAGATTAACGTTAAAGGAGATCCACGGAGCTTACATATGGTATTCTTCTTAAAAAATTCGACGTATTTAATGTGTATAGACAGCTGATTGAGAGCACGCGAGATTGATGGTCAATATCAATTCTTCTCATATTGTGTTACTTATTTTATTCCAATGGATCAAACGGAAAGGATGTTTTCAATAGGTGATGTATACAAGCAAAACTACTGGTTTGTTATAACTGTACGCCGCCGGGTTGTGAAGAACACAAGTCACTGAACTGGAACGGGTTTACTGTACTTGTGATAAAAGTATCTACGGGGTTACTGGGTGCAATACAGATCGATACTCAATAACCCGGTTGATACAGGTAAGGCCTATAGAGAGAGGCCGACCAGTCACCTGACACACGGTGCGTGTGAGATGCGGCATGATTTGAGGTCTCATCACATGGTTCAAACTGTATTATTTGTCCAACGATCATGATGGCATTGAGGCTCTTAAAACGGTTTTTGCGTGGAGGTGAAATCGGCGTCCGGATGTAAAGAAGTTTTTTCCCTTTCATGCTCACGGGAACAATATCAGGTGGAAATGAATGTCTAGTAATTACACCCCCCCCCACACACACACACATTACGAAAGGTGGTGCTAGAAGGCCGGCACATCGGCCACGAGGGGTGGGGGGGATGAAAATGAGTTGCGCTGGCTTGACAGAAGTGTTAGTGGCCCGGCTTGGACGAGGATAACAGTCGAGCAGCTCATAACTGTGAAGCGTGCCTCTACAAAATGAAGCCGAAACCGGCGACCTGGACTTCATGACCGAATGATTAGTTACATTCCGTGAAAGGTTGACTTCCGTAGACTATTTCTCGGTCAATAAAATGCGCTCGTGATCACGTAAAATTTTCATGACGAGGACCGCTCCCCCCCTCTCCACATGATATGTGATTCAGTCGAGGGGCCACGGATAAGCAACCTCATTTCCGTGCGAAGGGGATGAACGCGTGGTGAAACGGTGGTGGCTGACCCCATTTAGGAATAGCGTTATGTCATCCATGAGCGGCGAACGGCGCGGTTGAGAACTGGATGAACACACTGAAAAGTGTCACCGCATCCACGAACCGAAAAACAATGTTGGATTTGGGAATAACTTTGGACCAATTCCCGTAGCAGCAGCAGAAAACATCACAGAACCTGTCACCACCAAACTGTTCAACTCACGATGAGCATTATCGATGTGATTCACCCTCGACAAGCACCCGGGAAAAGAGACGTTGATAGAACAATCTTGCCCAAACGTGGCGAGGATTGCGGAGGACGTGTCCAATCCATGGTAATCGGCGATGGAGAATGCACATTGACAGACAGGCAGCAGTTTCTAATGCACTCGTTCGAGATTCTGTCACGTCAATTTACCCTCAACATGTATCTGAGGCACCAGTGATCAAATAACCATAATCTTCTCAGTTCTCATTGGTCCGATTTTGCAACCATATAGTAGAATTGGGCGGACTGCTGTGAAAAACACCTTGAGCTCGGTTTTAAGACTAATCTTGTTTATCTGACAGGGGGTATAATGGAGCTGTAAAAACGCTATGTGAGCTGTCTACGCGCCGCTTGACGTCATCCCTGACCTGTCTGTCAGGTTAGATAATGAACCCAAGTTACTTAAAGTAAGGAAAAATATCTGTTGTTGGACTATTCGTTGTGGAGCTCGTCACACACATCTCGGTTTTGGTAGCGTTGATTTCCAGGCCTATCTCCGAAGCGTATCCATTGAGGCAGTTGAAGGTCGTTTGCAAGAGGGTCATTTCCTTCTCAGACACCACTGCATCACTGGCGAATTCAAGGTTAGTGATCCAGCAATCAGTGAAAACTTGGATACCTTGATAGCCTTCCATCATTTGATTCATGTCCCAATCGACAGCGAAACTTAATAACATTAGAGATGGCAGACATCCTAGTCGTACTCTTTAATTCAGTCCAACAGGATGGGACTCTTCACTGTAGACAAAAAAACCAGCTGTCTTATTGGTGTAATAGGATTCTATCAGATTAACCAGCTCGACTGGGACGTCACTGGCAAGCATTATCTTCCACTGTATATGGTGGTGTACTGAGTCGAAGTCGAGGAAGCATGCATCAGTGAGGCGGTGTTCCAGAGTTCTCCGGAGGATAAAAATTTAGTTGTTGCATCCTGGATCCTGATCTGGCCTGTATCGTTTTGGCGAAGCAAAGCGATTCAGAACGCCTTAGGTGAGGGCTTTTACGTCTACGTCCAGTAGGGAAATCCCCAGTTAGTTTGCACATATCGCCCATCCCAATAGCAGGGGAATAGAAGCAGAACTGTAGTGGTCTAAACTGAAGGGCACCATTCATTCTCCGAAACAGAGCGGAATACGGAACGAAGGGGTTGGATACCACCGTGAGACATTCCTTGTAGATTTCAGCTGGGCCCTAACCAGACTTCAATCTGACGACGGGATCGACTATTTCCTCCAAGGATAGAAGAACACGGTTGATATCGTACAGGGAGTTAAAATGAATATCTAACGGTCCATTTACTGGATGCCCGAGAAGCTAACTGAACTATTCTACCCATCTAGTTAGTTATCTTACCACCAATATTGAGATTAAGAACGCCGGAACAATCGCGAAGAAGAGGATGAATGGACTGGGATTTTTCTACCGGACGCCGGGGTTATAAGCTGAAAAAGGTTTCCAAAAACCTTGCGCTGACTATGTAGACAACATTAGCATGTACTACTACTACTACTACTACTACTACTACTATTATTATTATTATTATTATTATTATTACTACTACTACTACCGTTTCTTCACAGAGGTCGCATTGCATACGTATGGAAAGGAGTTATTGTTCGTGAGTGTAATCAGAGAGCATAAAACAAAATGGATTACTAAAACGTGTTTTCGGATCATTCGAAGCAGACCGACTGCCCCGTTTATTATCAGCGTACACTAGACCACACGCCGAGTATGCTATACAACCCTGGTAATCCATGGCTCATTCGCGACCAGAAGGCACTTGAACGTCCGCAGAGCACAGCAACCAAAACGGTCAAAGTGTTAGAATCTAAAACCTACGTTCAACGGCTGAAAATCCGCGGACTCTAGTCCTCTGAATGCAACGGAATACGGGGAGACACGATTCTCGTATATCAAACACTAAATCGGCTTAACCACCCGTGTAGTACTCTACTAACACTATTCAGGAATGGTCACTTCCGAGGACATCCGTTTAAACGTTTGCTCTAAAAGAGTCGGTTAGACTGCAGGAGTCACTCTTTCAGCTTCAGAGGTTTTAATAACTGGAACTCTCTTCCATCTCAAGTTGTTTGGGTTCCAACCCTTCATCGATTCATTCAAGTCACAGCTGGATGAAGCATTAAACTATACCAACGTGATTAGCAACCATGAGTTTACGTTGTGAGTTGCTATTTAATTGTCCTACCAACCGAACCCAGTATGTGCACAGAAATCCTATGGGATTCCAAAAACATAAACTTTGTAATTTGTACGTGATAAAATAAACTGATATGAATTTGAGTATAGAATGTTTATGAATCTCCCGAATTTCATATAGGTCACTGAATCAATTCCAAAGGAATTATATGGATCAGTAATCTTATCGACTGTCAGGAAAAGAAATGGTGGATCCTGTTGTGAAAACTACAAAGGAATTACGAGATCCGCATCGTATCTAGGTCTCGCCAGCTTTATTATTCATCTATGAGCTGTGGCATGTGCAAAGCTCACGTAAGAACCAGGCTGTTTTCAGAGTTACCTCGACTGTATATACTTAGCATGCATCAAATCATGGAATCCACATAGTCCTTCCTCGTAGACTCGCAATTATTATTTGCCTAGATTGGGAACCGATCTTTGACTTAGTCGACCGCAGACGAAGTTATACCCTTGGGTTCAGATCCCGGGAAAGTGACAATCTTTTCCGGAATGGCGTGTGCTTCCGCATTTTTGTCTCCAACATACAACCCCGGGATTTTTTCTCTATGCCGGGCATCATTTAGCTTCATACACGATTATCAAACGGATTTTCACTGCGTATGTGCAAAGCCAAATTGCAGTTCGCACCGGGAAGATTTTACAGGTTACTAATTTAATTTTGTGTCCTTAGCAGAATACCCCAAACTGAATGCTCTTCACCCTACATGTGTGGTATTATCATCTGAGAGAAATTAGCGATCAACGACACGAAAAACAAACAGAGAATTCTGATTTCAATCCATCTAGCGTCATTGTTTTTACTGTTCGAACTGTTGATGCAGTTGTCCATGCACAATAGATATAAGATTAGATCCTGAATTCCTCATGTAAATGAGGTGTGAGCTGAAAAGATAGGAAGAAGTTCCGACCTGGTTGGGTCTCATTAGTAGCAGTGGGTGAATCAATCGATCCGACTGGGGATCGAACCCACGACTTCACAGGCATGCCGCCAACTCGGCTATTGGGTAGCTGATCAGACTGTTTCTCACTCTGAATACACAGGATATAGCACAACCCATCTTTGCGAGCTTGCTGCTCGTAACGGAGAAACGGTCTGATCAGCTACCTGGTGACCGAGTGGGAGACGGGCCTGCGTTCTATCAGTGAGATCCCGAATTCGATCCGCAGTTGGGTGGATGGATTCGCTCACTGCTGCTGATGAGACACAACCAGATCGAAAGAGCTGCCCAGAGCTTCCCAGGTTTTCAGCTCACACCTGATTTACACGGTGAATTCATGATCTAATCAGATTATTACTGCAAACTGACCGATGGTAGCTTCTTCCTACACTATTACGCACATGTTTTATTTATCTTATACCCAACTAGGACAATCATTTTCAACAAAATTCCATTATTCTTATTATTATGCCAATAATACGCCTAATTTTATGCAGAAGAGAGCAGAGACTTATCTTCCATTTAACGACCATCTCAACGCAATTTACGACTGTTTGTCCAACCACCGCAAGTACCAATCAGGGACGCATACAAATGGGGGCCCACATAACCGTTGGCCGAATAGGTGACTGTCCACGGTTAAGTGTTTCTATTGACTTGTCGTGAACCACTGGATAGGTATGTTTCTCCAAAGCACCAGAGGATAGAGATAGCCTTGTGCGTACCCCAAAAGTTAGCAAGCTGCACGACAATTCAAAGGGTTTGAAGTGTGAGCTGCCGTTGTGATATTGTAGTTCAGTGTGGGTAAACGACACTGCACACAAGGCGTACGCGGTCGGTATCCAGACCGAAAAGCCCAAATCTCACCCAATCAGATGATCTTTGCATAAATCAATCACAACAAATGTACCTCAGATGTTCACCAAAAACACGCACAACTTGATTATTATTATTAGCAATCGTTTCCGATTTATTATTGCTTTCCCCCACCCTCCAATTACAAATCCGGTACGGGACAGACGTAAAGAGGCGTTGAGCATGCCTCGAAATCCGTTATTCTCGCACGGAGACGGTTCGACACAGCTCAAGCACTTGCAGCTACTCTCACCCGAGCAAAGACGGGATCGTTGGATGTCTCAAACGTGGCATCATTTGCCACCATATCGGATCAGTAAAGAGGCCGCGGAACGGGACTGTCGACAGTCACATTACAACCAACCACGCAAACCGATGCCACCCTATTATGTCATTCATCCGGACATGGAATAGCTCTCTGTACGACACTGTTCGTACCGTTGCATGCGCGTATGCATTCCCCAATCCAGTACAAATAAATCCTTTATGTTCGATGACCTCTCTCTTGCGTCATCTGATCAGTATTCGATGGGGACAATCAAGAACGAGAAGACAGCATGGTTTTGACAGTAAAACACAACAGAGAGGGCTATTTGTATCCCTTATAAATCAACTTGCCTGGTTCTCCAGT